AAATGCATTATTTTTGCAAGACACATTTATAAAGGAATAAAGTAAAAGATTAAATAGCCTTTTTTTAAGTAGTGTACTTAAGATATGTTTCTGTTGAATATTTACGAATCCCAGATTTCCAACATGTGTCCCCCCCAATTGGAAAACATCTTCCTATGCCCTTGGAGCACATCACCCCAGTTCTACATTCCTTACACTGGCTCCCTGTATCTCAGAGAATAGACTTTAAAATACTTCTGTTAGTTTATAAATCTCGGAATGGCTTAGCACCTAAATACATCACAGACTTGTTGCTATCAGTGTAACAACCCTGCAGACCACTCAGGTCTTCTGGCTCCAGCCTGCTCTGCATACCTAGAACCAGAACTAAACATGGAGAAGCAGCATTTAGTTCCTATGCTACACGTATCTGGAACAAACTTCTATAAAACTGTAAAAGTGCGGGAAGCCTGAGTTCCTTTAAATCAAGATTAAAAACCCATTTGTTTAGGATTGCCTTCGACTGTTCTAGTTAAACAGTTCAACTGAAACATCATTAGTTCAACTTTTTCATTTTCTTTAGTCCAACTGTTTTTAATGTTCTTTTTTGTCTCTGTATTTTTTTTCCTCCTTGCTTTGACTCTGTTTTATTTTCCTATTATATTTTAATCATGTAACGCACTTTTCATTGTCTTTGTACTGAATTGTGCTATAGAAACCGGGTTGCCTTGAAAGAAGAAGAAGTGGAGTTTTTAAACGGGGGGAGTTTCAGCCTGCCCCTGCCCTGCCGGCGAAGCGGAGCAGAGAGGTTAGGAAATCGAGCGCACCCAGGATCCAGAATTCAACGCGCGTCGGCGTGCAGCGTCTCACAAGAAAACATGGCGACATTTCCGTTACAGACGTCGCTTTAAAAAATTTGTTTACTTTCTTTTTTGCTGCAAAAATACCACATGATTTAATAATTTCTCTTCATATGTTGATAAATGACAGTTAGCTTTAGTATCAGGTATTACATTTAAAGTAGACACGGAAGTATCGACGCCTCCAGCGGGGTTAGACATGAAGGAGGCTTTGGCCGAGGTTCAGAGGATCAGCGCACATCCGGACTCCCGCTGCTGGTTCGTTTCTTGGAGCCCGAATGGCGCTTTGCTGGCTTCATGCGGGGGTGACAAGGCCATCCGCATATGGGGGCGAGAGGGTGAGTTATCATAAACACGACTATTTAGGACTCCAAAGGGTGAATGCACTAAAGCACTTGTGGCTAGCAGCATTATGTAGAAAATATAATAAAGTCAAATCAAACGCATTGACAAACCGCAAGTATTCTTCCCAAATACGTTCAAATTTGAATCCCATGACTTTAATAAAAACTATTCTGAAACACACACAGTCCTCACAATAAATCAAAATAAAGCTTAAGCCTTTATAGTGTATTCAGTGAAATACTTTGAAAATGTAACATTTCGAGCCAATAGTGTCATTTGAATCCAGGACCAGACCTTATAACCTTTGTAACATAAAAAATATGGATATTTTGATGGCAAAAATGAATGTCAATAATACTTGCGCGAATATATTAGGAAAATAAAAAAAAGTGCTTCTATAAGAAATTCATTAAAAAACTCTGAGAGTGTAAGAAAAACATTTTGTTTTGGTACAACATAACCTTAGAGGCATTAATGCTGATACTGAAACTTGGCATTTTTTGGTTTATAAACCTAAATATAATAGTTAACGAGGATTATAATCCTTTTAACTTTAATTTTTAACTTTTCAATTAGCTTTTTACCTTTTTTCCCAACTTAATGTACAGCAGGTAATATATCATTCAAGGGCTCATCTAACTGGTCAAATGCCAATTGGACCTTAACTCTAAGGCAAGTGATCAATAACGGTAACTTGCCCTATAAAGGGTTAAAGTCTTCAGTTCTGTTGTATTTAGTGCTGAAACAATAAATCGGATTAATCGTGATTGATTGATTGTCATACCATCTTAACACCTGTTTTTTATTCTTTTTTCTTTAGGTGACTTGTGGGTCTGTAAGACAGTGCTGCAGGATGGTCACCAGCGCACTGTGAGGAAGGTGGCCTGGTCTCCGTGTGGCAACTATCTGGCTTCTGCCAGTTTTGATGCAACCACTTGCATCTGGAAGAAAAAGAATGATGACTTTGAGGTTTGATGAGGCAGTATTTTTACTTCTTTTATCATTTAAAAGACCATCTTTGAAATCCTTTACCACTTTTGAATTTGTCCCCTAGAGTTTGACTGTGTTGGAAGGACATGAAAACGAGGTCAAATGCGTGGCGTGGGCCCCTTCAGGGAACCTTCTGGCCACATGTAGCCGTGACAAGAGTGTCTGGGTTTGGGAAGGTTTGTGTCAACAGAAGCTGAACTCAAATGCTGTTGCAAATTAACTTTAGCTCTTAGCTTGTGTATAAACACGATTTATTTTTTATTTTTGTGCTTTTCAGTGGATGAAGATGAAGAATATGAGTGTGTTACTGTGTTGAACTCTCACACACAAGATGTCAAACATGTTGCATGGCACCCCACAAAGGAGGTAGCACAGACTCATTTCTTCTGATTATATTAATTAGTCTGATTTCCCCCACCCCCATCGTGACATAACAAAGCTTAATGTTCGTACAGCTTCTGGCTTCAGCCAGCTATGACAACAACATTTGCATTTACAAAGAAGACGACGACGACTGGGAGTGCCAGGCTACTTTGCAGGGACACACATCCACAGTGTGGAGCTTGTGTTTTGACGCTGCTGGAGAGAGGATGGCTTCCTGCAGCGATGACCGTACCGTGAAGATTTGGAAAGAGTATCCCAGCGATAGTGGGCAAGGTGTGTTTTTGGTGGACAGTAGCGCGTTTTCCATGTATCAGGAAGAAAAAAAAACAAACCGCTTCTTATTTGCTTCTTTAAAGGCGACCTCTCTTGGAAGTGCGTTTGCACGCTGTCTGGATATCATGGACGAACGGTTTATGATGTTGCCTGGTAAGTTTTTGTGCTTCTGGGATTTTGTAAAGTAGATGCTGTTTGTTTGAAAGGTCTACCAGCCCTGATCCTCAACTTTTAATGTAGTGATTAAAATATGTTTTTCCCATTCCTAAGTGCTAGCAGCTAAAATAACAGCATCCTCTATTTTTATTTGATGTTGGATGTTTGAAAAATATGAAATCAGTTAACCCTGTAATGCCAAATGTATCATATTTTATGCATACGGTTTCTGAAATGTTTTGCGTCTGACACCTTTTGCATAATCTAATGGTAAAAACTTTGCCCAAAATCCTATTGCACACAATCAGATATACCTGATAACAGAGGGCAGAAGCCTACGCAAAAAATAATCTTGACTTATTCCATAGTAATAAATTATTAATATAAAAAATGTATTTGTTTTTTCTTTTTACATATTTTGTTAAAAGGCCAAATAAGGACTTCAAACCAAAAAAAAAGTAACTTTATGTTTTGTTTTATTCTTGGATCAGGCTTTAAAGGGTTAAATGTAAAAATTGTAACCAGAAGTTGGATCATTTAGATTTTATTTAATAAATTCAGATTAGATACACTTGTATATATTTCAACTGATTAACTGAAATATAATGGTCTTCATTTGTTGTCATAAAATTTCATAAACCACTTTCCTTCAAGTCCGAGCTTTACTTTTTGAATTTTGAGTGACATGCCTACTTTTAAATTCCTTACTGTTGCATGTGGGGCGAAAACAATTAACTGGATTGATTATTGAAATAATTAATTTAATAATCAATTTATCGTTAACTGGAATATAGAGACTATAAAACATGCCTTTAGTTGACAGAGAAACCCGCTTAGAGCAGTAATTATACAAATATTGTAAAAAAAAATATATATATATATATAAACATTTTGCATTAAAAAAAGACAAATTTTTTTTCCAGAACTCCTTAAGTGGAAAAGTTTTTTTTTTACCTGGTTTAATTTTGTAAAGTCTTCTTCTAGGAACCTTTTGTCATCTGATTATTAATCGATTAATTGAAAAAAATAAATCAACAGATTATCGATTTGCAAAATAATCATTAGTTGCATTTCTAGTAGTCCTAAAACTCCTAAAATGTTAAAAGTAATGTCTCTTTAACAGTGATTGTTTCTGACTAAATAATGCTAATCTGCCCAGGTGTCAACTGACTGGTGCTCTGGCGACTGCCAGTGGGGACGACGCAGTGAGGGTTTTCAAGGAGGATGTGACGGCCAGTCCAGATGAGCCTGTGTTTTCATTGGTTGCCCAGGTAACCAGAGCTCACAACCAGGATGTAAACTGCGTTTCCTGGAACCCAAAGGAGGCGGGCCTTCTGGCCTCCTGCAGCGATAATGGAGAAATTGCAATTTGGAGATTTAAAGAGGAAGACTGATTCCCTGGCTTCGTTACTGGAAGTTTCACAGATAACTTTCCTTTTTGCTCTTCTGCTTCATGTAAATGTTTCATCTGCAGCAGTGCTTCATGTGCTTTTGATTCCACATCTTGGAAATGAGATTGAAAATTTCTTAAGAGTTTATATAAATGGCGAAATATTAAAAAAATGGTGTGGATTGTTTTTATTCAAACAACAATTCAGAAAGGACATACTAAAATCATACTAAAAACACTTAGAGCAGGAATTAGATTTCCATAAGATCACTAGAGTGCTCGTTTGTATTTAAACACACAATCTGCACGACTGTAGCCTAACCCGCATCTTGACAGTCTTGTACCTGTCAGATAAAAGCTGGACAAACCCTCTACACTGAGATCTGGAGTTCAGTGTTCAGATGATTCAAGAAATCTACAGGATAAAATCAGACTGAACTTTAATGAGCAAATATTGAGACATGTTGACAAAGTAAAAAGGAACATAAATCAGGATGAATATCTAAAAGAAAAAAACATTGATTCCCTCCAACAATCGGCTTAATCTGAGTCACTGTCCCCCTCGCTGTCAGCCTCCTTTACGTCCACGCTGAATTTGTACTCCTGATCACACCCCATGTATGCATCACTCATGAAGTACAGGGTGTAGTTATGGATGCCCATAGCCGGCGCAACGAAGTCCAGCTTGACCTGCAGAGAACAGACATGGTTTTAGGTTTTGGTTCAAGGAGCTCTATCTGGTCAAAGTATTTGCTTTTTGACTTGCTTCACCTTTGCTTTCTGCTGAAGAGTTAACCTCTTGATAGAAATAAGGCTGTTGGACTTGGGGTCTCCGATGACCACCCACCAGCCCTCCTCACGTTTCTGCAACAAGATTATTCACACAGTCATTTAACATTTTATTAAAAAGCAGGTGTTTAAAAAAGTGCGGTGACACTAACCTGAGGGAAAAGTGGAGCGATGACGGGACCGGTCACCTCCTCCTCTCGCTCGAGCTGAACTTGGACCAGAACTGAACTACCGCTGCAAATACAACAATCAGATCACCCAAAGGTTAAACCTTACAACTGGATCAATTATTTTTTTTAAATTTAACCCAAAATAGTGCAGGATTGTTTCTAAATTAAAAGAAAACAACTTGCTGTGTTATGCATTTTTCTTCATTAAGTAACTTCAGCAACATAACACCAAAACCTAATGTTCAGTAAAACATGTCAGAGGGAGCATTATGCTGTGGTAATCCTTCAGAATGGTCCTTAGGAACATTTACACACCACGTTAGCACGGTTCCTCGCCTCCTATTGGTGGTCCACGATACTACAGCTCTCAAGGCGGAAATTATGCAAACAAAAATGGCAGCACCCATAACATTCAGAAACTTATGTGTCTGTATAGCGTCCTCTCCAAAATTTCAATGAGAGCCTTTTGATGCCATTTAATGTTAATAGGCTGAGAAGAATTACAAAAGCCGGACACGTTGGAAAACCCACAAAATGAGTCAGCTGACTGTAAACAGGAGATGCTCATACGCTCTTTGTAATCAGAGAACCAAGCCACAACTCAACCGCGCTGAGCCAGTACTAGATTTGGAGCGGTTCGGTTGTGTCTTTCACGGTCCATGTGCTGTCCTCGCCCTGAGTTTTCCCAATTTTTCAGCAGGCTAGACAGCCAGACAACGACATTCCAATAACCAAACTTCTTTCTCTTTTACTTGTTTATTGAAGAGTGGCCTCTGACCACTGCCATCACTTTAGCCATCGTAAAGAACAAATCTTGTCTCAAACACAACGTGAAAGATAGCAATCAGCTCATTTCCCAAACTGCGTGGTGCTGCATTCCACCATCTTAGATCTACACCTTCCTTTAACGTCACCAAATAATACAGTAAATTATCCAGCAGGGGGCGCCCTAGTGCGGTTTTCAACCAAAGAGGCACCACAGTCCAGGTCAGTTGCGTTCCATTTAGGGTTGTCAAAAGTATCGATACTCAAAAAAGTATTGATACTGAAACGTTGTATCCGGATACTATACTCATTTTCAAAAGTATCGATACAGTGCTACCACCAGTGGCACCTAATCAGTCATTCATCTAAAGTACAGAATAGAGGAAAATGCACTTTCAGAACACTGTGTGATTGAATAATTCTCTGCACTTTTTATTTTCAGACTTTTTTGTAACAGGTGCAGCTGCTGAGAATAATTTTTGTTACTTAGCCGGTTTGGCTAGCGTCATTGTTATGTGTGCAAAGCATAGCCAAGGAAGGAACACTTCATTTTAATTTTGTAAGTTTTTTATCAAGCTTGCTTAATATTTTGCACAGCAAACAACCTCAAAATATTGTTTTTATTGTATTTATCTATTGTACTTTAATTATTAATCAAAATATTTCTGTTGAAATTTGGAGTTTTTATCCTTGTGGTATCGAAAATGGTATCGAGTATCGAATATTTTCCTTAATATCGGTATCGAGTTGAAAAGTTTAGTATCGTGACAACCCTAGTTCCATTTACACTCAACGGTTAACTCGGTACCGTGCTAGGACAGCTCTCGGCAGTTTAAAAATGGGGCTAGTGTTTGAGTGAATTACCCTCAATCTCCCTGACAAATGGCAGTAGTTTTTACACTCTATTCCGTAAAAGGTGCAACTCTGATAAACAGACCATTAAAGATAAAAAAAAAAAAAAAAAATTGTTATTTTAGATTTCACAATCATGCTGTATGTTGTTTCCTCACAATCTATATCCAAAGACTTGGATACAGTTTGGTGGCTGTAGACTTTCAAAAATAAAAAGTTTTGCAAACAGCTTGCTGGAGGCTGAGTGTAAGCAGACCTTTTGATGTTGTCCCTCTCGGCTACGTCATACGAAAGCTCAATGTTGGGGTAGCGGTTACAGAAGCGAGCCACGTCCGCTATCTGTGCGTCTGAGAGCTGCAGCAATGATGTTCTCTCCTCATCCTCCATCTCCATGATATCAAAGATGCTCTCCACACCCTTAAGGTAAAAGTAGATCATCAGTCAGAATGTTGAACTTCAGAACAGAGAAGTGGGAGGTGCATACAAGCACCACTCACTTTGTCGGTGCAGCGTTTGATGTGGTCTGAGGTGAAGTGGGGCAGTTGTCTCAGATAGGAATCCTTGGACCACATGGCTTGAGTGACCATCTGCGCCAGCTCCATAGCAGCCAGGGCTGGACTCAGCCAGCCGTTACTGGACAGCACATCCACACAGGCCTGAATCAGGCGGATCGCCTACAACCAGAAAACGCTCATTTTCAGAGAAACGCTACAGGATGTAAACTAAACACTGGCTGCGTTCTAGCAGAACTTGAATGGAAACCTTGCTCAGGATGTCTTCGGTGTCTGACTGGAGCTCTGCGCTCAGCTGCATCCTGGAGAGGTGGGCTTGCAGCAGCAGGTTGGTCTTCACATGGGGGTCATTAAACTTTGGGTTGTTTAACTTATGGGGGACTTTTTGTGCCAGCTGAAATAAAAGAAATGGAAAAAAATATTTTAATTAATAAAATTCAACAACAGATTTCATATTCCATATAAAAAAAAAGTCTGAGTCCAAGTTCACCTGTCGGAGAAGTGCGTCCTCGTGGTGCCTGATGGGAATGTTCTTGTATTCAGCCGCGTTGGAGATGATTTCGATTAACCCACGGATCTTCGTCTTGGCATTCAGTGACATACTGAACAACTCTGGAAAAAAACAAACAGCATATTTGTTTAGCATCTAACAGGAGAAAAACTTTCAATGTTAGGATGGATGCTGGGGCAGCGTTGGTACGAACCGATGGTGGTGTAGTTGATGTAGTAGTAAGCGGCAATCATTCCCAGATTGAGCGGAGCGACGTCCATTTCATCCTCAATGCTGATGCATTTGGACTGCTCCAGGTCATGCAAGGTGTTTTCCACCAATTCGGAGAGGTGATCGGACAGGTGACGATGGGACATGCCTGCCGTGATTACAGGACAGTTATCAGAACTCCTTTAAACTTCCAGTAAACCTACTCAGTCAGCACTTAAGCGCGCTCCTCACCTTGCAGGTTGTAGTAGTTGGGGTTCTGCGTCATACGCCGGTAGAGGAATGTCCACGTCAGGTAGTCGACGGCATCTTGCTTGTTCTCCACCGTCTTGGTGACGATCTCGGCGTTGAAGTGGTCATGGAGACAGTGATCCAAGTGTGATTCCACAGGCAGGGGCTCATAGAGGAACTTCTTGAAGAAGTCCTACAAGGAAAACAGGAGGCGAAATAATTAACATTTATCTTTTTTTTTATGTAATTTTAACAAGTTCTGAGAAACCAACTTTAAGTTTTAGTTCAGGCTTGTTAATTATCTTATATTAATTTCAAAGTGAAACATAAACACTAATTTACCTTCTTAGAGCCCTGACACATGATAACACAGCGTCCCTCATCATCTTGCATGGGCCTGTTCGCCTTACCGACCATCTGGAGGACATCATAGATGGGATAGTCCACATATCTAAAACAGAAACGACAGGAAAGATGTAAAGGAAGTCTCATTATTTTGGATCATACTGCGAGTAAAGTTCTCAAAGGGCCTTACGCATGGATTTTCCCATTGTAGTACTGCGTGTCCATGACGATGACGAGATGTGCAGAGACGTTGATGCCCCAGCAGAGCGAACGTGAGGAGACCACCACCTGGACGGCACCTGTACCCAGAGAGGAAGTTCAAATCACAAGAAAAGTTTCATCCCGTTTCTGTATTTTTATCTTTATTGTTTTATACCGGAGTTAAAAAGCTGTTCAACAATCCGGCGCTCTGTCGCGCTCAGGCCCTCGTGCAGGTACGCCACGCCGTTGGCTAGGGTTTCTTTCAGAGTTGGGTCGTTTATTTTCTCTAGGAACGGAACCAAGTCTTTCTCTGTGCAGTGCAGGAACCTAAAGAAAGAAATGTTTTATCAGATCATTTTTTTTGCAGATTTTAATCTCTGTTCTGCAACCAAAAATACAAGAATTAAAGTAAAGGCTGACCTCTGAGGGACAACATCAGCAGCGCAGAAGGTCAGGATGTCAATGGCGGTGAGGCGGGTCTGCCGGCGGGATGGGACAAACACCACCACCGGCTTGGAGGGTGAATGCTTCATGATGGCGTGATACACTGGCTTAGCCATGGACAGAAGGCGAGTCTGAGT